GTCGGCGGTTCAAGCTCACCAGCTGCTCCTCAGAAACCCTATACAGGGTCACTATGGGTGGGAATTGACTTGACGGCACTTAACAACAACAACAACAACATAATCAATGTAATGAAACAAGTTATATGAATTGTTGAATGTAAAACTGATGATGTGCTCTGTAAACTTTCACTCAATCCACAATAAAAACCTTAAATTAAAAAAAAAAAAAAATCAGGAAAGGTGTGTATCAGGATTGTATCCTTCCACCATATGTAGTCAATCTGTATGTTGTTGTTGTTGTTGTTGTCAAGTGCTGTTGATTCCAACCCATAGTGACCCTGTATAAGGTTTCTGAGGAGCAGCTGGTGAGCTTGAACCGCCGACCTTCCAGTTCAAACGGCTTTGCAGTCTGATGCATTAACCCACAGTGCCACACCAGGACTCCATCTGTATAGTGAGCCAATCATCAGAGAAGCTGGGCTATGTGAAGAAAAATGTGGCATCAAGATTGGAGAAAGGCTCATTAACAACCTGTGATATGCAGATAATACAACCGTGCTTGTTTCAGGTAAAGAGGACTAGAAGCGCTTACTGATGTAGATCAAAGACTGCAGCTTTCAGTATGTAAAGAAAATGTAAAAGCCTCAGTGTAAAGAAAATCCTCACCATATCATGATGAAAAGAGAAAATATTGAAGTTGTCAAGGATTTCATTTTACTTAGATATACAATCAACGGCACTTAACAACAACATACAATCAATGTCCAGGGAAATGGTAGTCAAATCAAAAGACGTATTGAATTGGGCAAATCCACTGCAAAGAGATCACTTTGAGGACTAAGGCATGCCTAACCCATCATGGTATTCTCAGCTGCGTCACAGGTATGCAAAAGCCAACAATAAAGTTGACCAAAGACTTGATGCCTTTGGATTCTTGTGTTGGCAAAGACTGTTGACAATACCATGACTGCCAGGAGAATGAAGAAGTGCAGTCCGAATAATCCTTGGAAGCTGGGATGGTAATACTCCAGCTCTTGTGCTTCGGATATGTTCTCAGGAGGGACCAGTTCCTGGAAAAGGACACCACTCTTGGTAAAATGAAGAGTCCGCCAAAAAGAAGACCCTCAGTGAAATGGACTGACATGGTAGCAATGATTGTGAGGGTGACAAAGAACTGAGCAGCATCTTTTTATGTGGACTTAGGGTCTGATATGAGTGGGAAGTGACTGAAGGTCCCTAACAACACTGAAGATGGAAAGGCAGGTGGAGAAGAGGGGTCTTTCAGTTATTAGCCCCCAACCCTGGTTCAGGACACCTAGGATTAACCCTGCCAACACTGCAGCTTCTCTGGGTCGGAAGGGTTTCTATGGGACCTGCTTCTTATACCTTATTCAGCAGGTCAGTATCATGACAGGGTCAAATGGTGGTCCCAACCCCAGCTTTGGGGTCCCTTCGTTAGAGAGGGACAGTGGTCCCCAAGGGCAACTCCCCAACCCCCCAGTGGGACCTGAACCTGAAAACAAAGTGTCTCCCTCTTTCTCTGCACCTGGGGGAAGTGAGTGGATCCCCTAGCCCCACCCCAGATAGCCTGCTTCCAAGAGCACCACAGGGACAGATGGTGGGGCACCTGCTCACCACCTGGCCATCTGGAGAGGCCAGAGGCCCTGTCTTGCCGATGCCTGCTTCAGGAAGGGTGGTCCAGTGAAGCCTGGGGACAGGGTGGGACAGGTCAGAGGCCCCACCTGCTCAAAAGAAGACTTTCCTGCCCGCTTCACCCCTCTGGCCTCTCTCCTGCCCCTCCGCCCTACTAGAGGGTACTTTGAGCTGGACCTGCCTCATAGGGTATTGAAGAGAGTGAGTGTGCCCACTCAGTCTCCTCACGAGCAGGTAGGAAGCACCATGACTGCGCACCAAACTGGGAGGTCCAGAGATTAGAGGAGGAATGGAGTCCTTTTGTCTGGGGTGGGAGAGGAAGGGCAGCACTGAATTGGGTATTGAAGGATGAATAGAAGTCCTGTAGGTGACAGAAGAAATGTGTTCCTGGCCACACAAGTGGAAAGTGCCAGCTGTGGGGTGTGAGTCAGGAATCCGTTCAGGTGTGTAAGGTCTGGAAAATAGGTGGGCTGTGTCTGAGGCAGTGTCTGAGGGAGCATTGTGGAGTTGAGGGGTGCAGTGAATTCAGGGCCTGCAGAGCACCCCCACATCACTGGCTCACAGTCACTGTCCCTGAACCCCCAACTTCCCTTTGGTTTGAGTGAAGATTCTAATCTTCCTAACTGCTCACCCTTCTTCTAGGACGGAGTGGGGGACCCCACATGTCGCAGCATGGTTTGTACGAGAACCTGGGGGCAAATACTCCCCACACTGCGGTCTACTGGGGTCATGTGTGCCTCACTGGTTAGAGACCTTCAGTTCAGTCTTTTCTGAACTGCCAGTCCGGTCAGCTGGTCACTAGGATGAGGAGCCAGGGCCAGCCTACGAGTGAGCAGAAAGGGGTCAGCTCGACCAGGAGCACCCACGTGCCGGAGCCACAGCACTGCTCCTGGTCGCATTAGATCCATGTTTGCAAATAAACTAGACTAGCCGGAGCTTCAGCTGCTCAGGCCGCCCTGCTGGGCCACCATCTGCTCAGTCACCAAGCTACTCTGGCCCCAGTGGAAGGTCCACTCTGCAATTTCCCTGAGCTCATCCCAAGATGCATGTGTGTGCACACACATCGTGGTGCATGTATGCAGCGGTACACACATGCAGTCTTACCATGCACATGTATGCAGTTCTTTGTCCACTCAAGTGCACACAATGCAAAGGTAAAAGCGCAGTCATAGACTCACAGTGTTGTACACTCACATGCATGCACACAGACTCACAGTGTTGTACACCTACACACACACAGTATTGTACACCCACATGTGCACACACAGACTTACACAGTGTTGTACACCCACCTGCACACACAGTCTTACAGTGTTGTACACCCACACATGCTCACATAGTCTTACACACACACAATATTGTACATCCACATGCAAACATGGTGTTGTACACACGCACACACACACACACACATACGATTTTGCAGGTCCCTGGACAGGTACTTTGCTCTGCCCTTCCCCCAGATGAGTGCAGCCTTCTCTGCGCTGTAGTTGGAGACTGGGGGGGTCCCTGAAAGCTCCTCTGGGCTTTGGGGCCTGGCAAGGGTGGATGGGACTGCTAGGTGGAAGGAGGAATGGAAAAAGCCTTAGACTGTGGTTCAATCCCATCCACTTCCTATTCAGTGCTCTCAGATGCGGAGCTTTGGCCCTTCTAACGTAGGACACACGGGGCTCGGAGAAAATGCAGACGTGGACACACGGGGCTCAGAGAAAATGCAGACGTGTGGCCATCCTTATCCCCAGCAGTCACACTACAGGGGTGGCATTACGGCGGTAAGCCTCGTTCTCCAGGGACCGGAGAGCTCTGAGGGAGCTGGGGACCCCTGAGTAGCCCTGGGGTGCGGAGAGACGCAGTGGGGAGGAGGGTGCGTGCGGGCAGTGCCTCGACACTGGGGCTGACCCTGCCAGAGCCCCTTCTGCCTTCAGATCCCGTCCTGAGCCCGCTGCTGTCTGCGCCCACCGACCCCGATTCTGGAAGGGGCTTGTCCCGCCTCTCCCGTCCACGACCTGTCACCCCACCCCGCCTCTAGCCCACTCCCCTATTCCCTCCTACCCCGCCCACATGTTGTTACTTGGCCCGGCCGCCCGGCCTCGGACACAGCCCCGTCCGTACGCACATGTACTGTCACTCACC